TACAGTACAGAACCCGTTATCCGGAAATCAGAAAACCGGAAAACCAAAAAACCGGAACGAAATTCGATAAATTTTCCCGCAATTTTTAAAAAATTTTTTTTTTCCTCTTAAGATTTTAGGACTTTTCTTTCTTTTTTGAAAGATTTTTACCTTACCATCATTTTGGAAATAATTATTAGTGTATTACTTCATTATTTTTTCTTCTTTTTAAGATTATTTCCAAATATTTACTTTTTTTTAGTTGGGTTTAACAATAAAAAAACGGCTTTTTGTAGCGATTCAGAAAACCGGAAAAATCAGTTATTCGGAATAGCGATGGTCCCGATCGTTCCGGATAATCGGTTCCCTACTGTATATATATATATATATAAGTGAACACGAAATGTTGTGTTCCTTATTATAACTTAGGGGAAATATTAATAATTGTAATTGGTTTATTAAATAGGTCGCGCTATTCCCACAAAGAGCAAAAGGGGGAAATGTCTTACTTTTAATTGATGCAAGCTTGAGCCAAAAATAGATTAAAGGACAGGATGTGAATTTAAAAGTGTGAGAAAGTGTTTCGATTAGAATAATAAACTAAAAAATTTAGCACCAAAGTAATTTTTTCCGGTGCAATTCGCTTTTGAAGGGACGTAAAACACTTATCCTCACAGTATCGGCATTAAAACTGCTAAGTTTTGGTGCAATTTTAATAATTACCAAATATATCAGTAAATAACTTTATATCTAATATATTATATATATATATATATATATACTTTTGTTGACATAAAAAAGAGAAGAAGAAAAACGATTTTTTTTTCGTGTATAGTGGCTACAAATGAAATATAAAAAAATTATTGTTCAGGTTTTTGCTTGTCTTTCTATTAAGTCATGCAATTGGAGATGCCTCGGTGCCAATCAGCTAATAAAGGTTGTAATGATTTGAATACAAACTGAGAAACAAAGTAGGGTCAAAGCTACCAGAATAAATATGGTAACATTTGCCATGTTTCTGGCTCTATGAGAACACAAAAAAGCTTTGCAATTTTTACCGAAGCACAATAATGATTTTGGTAAAATCAACAGTAAAATATGGTTTGTAATTTGTTGGTAATTAATTATGGTTTTAATTAATCGAGAAAATTTAATAAAATTAAAATAAAGAAGATAAACGGTGCCGCGAGTTTCTTATAAATTCATTCTGTAAAGTAAAATGGCATTGAAACGTAACTATTCCATTTCTAACTTTTCGATAATGATTTTGGCGTCGTTATAGCATTACCTAAGTATATTTTGTAGAATTGGATCTTCCCTCTCTCGCTTCTTGGTCGCAAATGTAAGCAGTATGATAATTCTAAACTTATGCTTACGTAAATGTCTTTTTTTAACCGAAAATTTAAATATATTTGTAATTTTTAAGAGTTTTTTTTTTTTCAGATTAAAGTAGCTTAGTATCTTACAAAAGCATTACTCACATTCATTTTTCCTCTTTTGTTGTCGAAAATAGGCATATTTTAAAAAATTTCCTAGATTTCATAAAATTCAAATGCTTACATAGTATTTCATTGCTTTCTAAGTTTTTAGTTTTCAGTTCAAGTTTGTAGACACATACTGTTTAGTAATTCTTTCCTGTTAACACCGTAATATTTATTAACAGCATCCTATTTATGTAAAGCTATGATTAAAAGTTAATGAGTTCGTTAAGTCAGTGAGTAATTAATGAAATTGTTATTTGTTGGGTTAATGAGTTTGTTTTATGAACATTCTTTGCGCTAAATCTACTTTAAAATGGGCTTGAAATATGCACGTTGTCCTAGAATAACCTAACTTAATATATTATTTAATAATATATATTATTAGCATATATTTATATATAATAATTAAATATATACACTGCTCAAAACAGTTAAAGGATATTGAAAGTCTTGTATAAAATAACGGTATAAGCAAATTTTTTTGTTGCATGAAATGGAAGAAGAGAGTCACAAATGCCTTTTTTCTTATTTTTAAACTTCGCAGTATGCAAATATTGAGTTTGACGTCAAAGACAACGCTTTAGCGGCAATGAATTTGATTTGGCTTGTTCTGTAATTCAAAGCGGAGAAGAATGATCGACATGTAATCGCGATGTCTCAGTGAAGTCATTTAATCGAATCAGAAGTTTGGAGAGTTGTTGGCCGGTTGGAGGGAGCACAAACAGAAGCCGGGAGTACTAAATTTTATTTTAAAAATATTTATGATATATATTTGAAAATTGAATCTGTAGAGGTTGACAAGTAAATAAGACAAACCAATCATATTCATAAATAAAACAAATTTTTAGACGTATATTTGCTACCACTTTCTAATTTTTACTAGAACTTTTACTTTTATATTTAATGTTCTTTTCCTAAACCGGATTACCCTCCTAGTGGTCTGATCGGACTACCTTTAAGAAACCGTGTGGAGGCATCAAAAAAATTTTCGTGATTTTTTATAAATTCGAAGGATAGTGACTTTGCTATATTTTATCAATTTCTTCAAACCATTTCAGTAGCGATAAAAATTTACTCGAATTATGTGTTTCTAGTAAACTTGGCTTCGTTGGTCACTGGTGACCCCGTGGCGCTTCGAACGACCCGGTGACCCCCATGACATTCAACGTGTTAACTACAGACAAGAAAAATGTCGGAAGTGAGTTTGTTGAAATTCGAAGATACTTAGCTAATTTTTTCGACGTATCTCTTAAACTTGGAATTGTTCTAGTTACTCCGTACTAGTCCTGGTGGACTGTCAGTGATTCATTCTAATGGCATGACTCAAAGAGATAAGATATTGACGTACACGGTACAAACATAAATAAAGTGGGAGGGAAATGGTGATATAGATGCTCGGCCAGCCAATTCACCTCCCCCATGTCTATCTGTAACTTTTGGTAAGGCTGTTTTGATTTTTTAATTTAAGGAAGAATTAGATTTAGACTGAGAGGAGATTCGAGGTCCCTGCCCTCCACTTCTTCACATATCGTAGAGCCCTTGGGCGACTGAGGTACTGTCATTGATTAGTAAGATACATTAACCCTTTTGCGCCGACGGTCACAAGTACGTGCCAGCATAAAGTCGTATCAATCAGGGTAAAAAGATAAAACTGGTAATCTAAGTATTTCTTTAGCAGTTTATTTGTGGGCGGAGTTATAATTGTTTGATTTATTTAATTCACCATTACTTTGTTTAAAATAAAACTATTTAGTTATACTTTGAATTAACATTGATTATATACATGATTAAACTAACAATAATTAAAGCAAAAGCAAAGTAAGTCTGTCAAATTAGCAACGACCACATTTAAGTTACCGTTTTTTATTTAATTACAACTTGATTCTGATTTTGTACGAATGCTTTTCTGAATCACCCGTCCCCAAGGGGTTAAATATTAATATAGAGTTCAAAATTATAACATTAGAATTATTCTTTAAAATGAAGTGGTATTGTTTTCACAATTCCATTCACATGAGTCTCTTAAGATTCCTTTTACGGTTTCAGGACTTGTATTTTCTAGCCATTAAGATTGAATTGTCAAAGATGAAGTTCTGATCTTTAGATCAAAAGTTATTCAAGATGGTCCGTTAATTTTTTGCGCACGGTACATCGAATAAAGTAAACGGGCTATCGGGTATTGTCTCAAGGAAACACATAACTGCATCAAGACTCAAGAATTCCACTGCTAGACAGAAGGCTGTATTCTAAAGGTACATTTCAAAAAATAAACAAAGACCATTCGGACTTTTTAGTTATTTTTTTGTATCGTTTCTAATGAAAACTTAAAAATCAAATCTTACGGCTGTGTCTGTTGGTGCCTTGCAAACCTTATCTGGATATTCATTTAAATCTTCTTGAATATTTACATCCGGCATGACCTCATGCACCGATGTCCTCGATTTTACTCTCACCTAAAACAAAGCAATGCACATATTCAAATACTGAAACATAAAAGTGAACATATTGAAATTCTAAAGCAAAATAAAGTACAAATTTTAATATTAATAATGGAAAATAATGAATATATTCAGATTCTAAAACAAAACAATGTCAAACATAATAGTGAACATATTCAGATTCTAAAGCAAAATAGTGTACAAATTCAGATAGTAATTATAGAAAATAATGAATATATTCAGATTCTAAAATAAAACAACGTCAAACAAAAGAATGGCTGCCAACTTTCTAAGCTTTTTGTAAAACATTCAGTCTAGTGGTAGCTATGTTTATGCTTTAAAGTATTATTTTTATTTATTTAAACTTATTTTCCGCACCTCTACCTATAATTGATTTAAAAGTTCATATGCAACGCCACTTTTTTCCAGCTCTATGGGATCTCCTGGTCAAGCGGTATCACCCGCCAGACGGATTGCAAAGCTTGGAGGTAGCGGATTCGAATCCCGCTGTTACCATGGCTGTATCTTGCTGTTGTTCTTTTCTGTATTTTGTTATCTATCCTTCTATTTGGCGAAGACTTTAAAGCCTAAATTGAGCACACTAGCCTGCAAATGTATGTAATTTCAATTCATTCATCCAGCTCTAACGGGGCCTCCTTGGCCTGACGGTATCGCCCGTCAAACGCTTTGGAAAGCATGGAGGTAACGGCTTCAAATTCAACTTTTACAATTCATGTATCTTCGTGCTGACCTTCTCTTCATTGGGCTATTTGTCCTTCTATTTGGCAAAGTCTTTTAAGCCTAAATTGAGCACACAAGCCTGCAAATGTATGTAATTTCAATAAGTCAATAAATCCAGCTCCATCGTGGTGAGGCGTTTAAAATGTTGGCATTCTGAAAGCTTTGGCTTTTAAATGTCTCCCACTCTATAAAATATTTTGCAAAAAGCGTGGTTGTTGGCAAGCCTTTAATGAGCACATTCCGATAATAGGACATAATAATAAACATATTCAGAAGAAGCAAAATAATGTACAGTGAGCAAAAAATAAAAACGGACTAACGGAATTACTTTTGATCTAATGATCGCATCTTCACATTCCAAGACTCACTCTTAATTGTTTGAAGGGGTGACATCCAGTATGCTAATTACATGGCGCAGAAGTTTTCATTTCCGAAATCAGGCCTAAAAACTTACTTTCTCTGAATGAGCATACTTTGTGTTTCGACGGATTACGATTTTTGACCCTCAAAATATAGGGGGTAGCCGTAAGCCGAGAAGTATGGTTTCAACAGTTTGACCAGAATGGCTGTTCGAAGTTACAAAATTTGAGCGATATCGATCAAATCGTTCTTGAAAAGTGGAATTTTTCAAAATACGACTTTTTCGAAATTAGATTTCTCAGAAACGTTTCGACTTATTCAAATTTATATTCTGCTATTAAAATTCATTCCTTAAAATGATGCAAAAATTAGCTATACGAAACTCTGCAACAAATTGCTACAACAATTCTAAAAAAATTCTACTATTTTTAAGTAAAATATAAACATAATAAATATTTGTTAAAAAAAACGAATAACGATAAACGAATTTTATGATTGTGTGCAAAATTTTTGAATTCGCTTAAAAAATTCTCCAGATGTGGTGAAATACACAAAAAATAAAATTAATTCTATTAGGCTGATACTTCCCAACTCTCAGCTATATTTTGAGGGTCAGAAATCCAAATCCGTCGGAGAAAAGGCATATTTATTCTGCAAAAGTACGTTTTTGTGTCTGATTTCGTAACTTAAATTATCGTCTGAATTAATTAATTAGCATATTTGAGATCACCCCTTGAACCATTAAGATTGTGTCCTAGAACGTGAAGATCTGATCATTACATCAAAAATTATTTAAGGTGGCTCCTTCATTTTTTGCGCAATGCGCACATCCAGGTATTAAAGAATAATAATGCACATATCCAGATACTAAAACGAAGTAATTTATTAAAAGATTAAAATAAAAGAAAATATCAAGGACTTAGTTATAAATCGATCTATATTTTTAACAAAATTTTCGTCGAGGGATATAATAATTTGATTCAACATGCACCGAATCTATTTTTCAAAGATTTAGATAGTTTTTAGAATCATTGGAAAATTGACTAGTTATTTTTAGCTAAAAACTATTTTAACACGTTGAATGCCATGGGGGGTCACCGGTGATCAGCGAAGCTACGATTATTGGAAACAAACAATTCGAGTAAATTTATAATTTTTTTATACTATTATCGTTACTAAAATGGCTTGAAGAAATTAATGCAATATAGAACACGCAATTATAGTTTTATTTATATACACGGCAATGCCAACTTGCTCTGGACAGCGAATAAATATTTTCAAGTGGTAGTTAATTAATTGTGATTCTTGGTTTAATAAATTCAATTTAGTAGATTTTTCTCCACCACTATTTCCAAGCAATTCGTCGGCTTATATAATTCACCACTATTTTTCATTTATGTCACAACCTCAATGATCCACATGGATATTTCATTTACATTCCACAACCTCAACGAGGCACCATACAGATCAAGCTCAAGATGAATGGGGAAAAGGGCCGCAAGTGGCTTCAGGTGCCCATATATTTTATACAGTTAAAGTTCATTTATGTCATGCTAAACCTTTTAAAAACCAGCAAAATCTGTCGAATATTTGCAAATTTGGTTTGTAGTTATTTACTGTTTAGCCAGACGGGAGAACCATGTAAAATTAGCGTGGCATTTAACGTGTTAAAAAAGTATCTTAAAAAAATAACACATAAAACTTGATAAAACATATTTCACTAAATTCATAAACTATACGAATTTTTATAAAACTGATTCTGATCTCAATGATTCCGTGGTCAAATAAACCCTACTTGACACTAGCAATTTATTGTAAGCATCTTTACAAGCTGTGGCTAATTTCAGTTAAGTAAGCTATTGACAATAATTCATTAAAGATCCGCAGCAACTTATCAGATAGGGAGTCCGCCTGGCAATTAGATGACTCAGGTTCGAATCACAACAGTGGCTGATTGATTCAAATTCTGCTCCCACCTCACACTAACGACAGTGCTGACGTAAAACATCCTCAGTGGTAGAAAGATCAGATAGATCATGGTTAGAATCTCCCTGCCGCAAAGCTAACGTTGGGAGTTTTCGAGGTTTCACTTTCCATGCAACGCAAATGATGGTTCTCCTCAAAAAGTCTACCAGAAATGCTAGTTTGCCCCAATGCTTGATCCAGAAGTTACCTTGTTTTCTGGGTAGGGTTCAAAATTACAAGTCTATGGAACTGAACATTCATAGTCGTAAACTTATAATCGGCTGCTTAACGCAGGTTTTAAAATTAAAATAAAATAGTTCGTTAAAGTGTAATGATAAATTGCAAATCACGTAATTACTATTCTAAACAGCAAAATTTCATAAACATTTACAATTATATTTTTAATCTTATATCGTAAAAAAAAAATATTATTTTCTATTTAATAATATCCTAACTTTGTTCTATAGAACACAAACATTTTATTTTGTATTTTTAATATCTTAAAGAAACTTACTTCATCAGGAAGCTTAGACCAACATTCGTTATAATCATGCATAAAGTCACCTGAAAACATCGTTATTTAATCAAACAAATCAGATAATTTAACATTATAATAATTTTCTTTCGATCATAGTCATTTAAAAAATACACACTCTTTTCAAAAATTAATTAATTTTGAAAAAAAATTTAAACTATTTAGCAAGAATTTATTTTCATGAATAAACTGTTGTTAAATATGTTTTTAAAAAAATAAATACTGAACCACAAATAATTTTTCAGGAAAAAATTTTTAACAAAAATTTGCCAGACTAAATTGTTAAAAAAAATTTAAATAACAACCCGCAATTCAAAAATCAAATTTTATTCATGTAATGAGATTTATCCTGAATATTTCTAGCTGCTCCAGAATACATAACACAGAAATTAAGTATTTGGAGTATTTAGTTTTGCTAAGAAAAGCATCTCAAACTGAGCTTATTAGTCTTAACTAACAGTGTTTTAGCCAGTATTCGGCTTATAACGAGGAAAAATTTTATAAAGTGTTTCATAAAGATCTCGCAAATTTTAAGGGATTCAATTTCCTTTCAAATTTAAAACTTTTAACTGTTTACACAGAAATGTTTTCAAAATGGCAGTGAACGAAGGCGTGCCAACGCCTCCTTTAGCTGAAAGCCTGCACACAATTTCTTATAGGTAGTCCCATCAGACATCACCTACTACATCAGAAAGCCTCCGCACGGTTTCTAATAAGTAGTCTGCACAGATTATTTAAGAAGCGAACCACCTGTGCGCATGAACCCAAATTCTATTTTAAAAGTAATTGAGAGAAATTTATCATATGTATTTGAGAATTGAATCTGTAGTGGATGACAAGTAAATAAAACAGACCAATTATATTCATAAATTAAAAAAATTTTTAGACATATATTTGCTACCACTTTCTAATTTTTAATAGATTTCATGTTAAATGGTTCTTTAACTAATTGTTTTACCTTCATAGTGGTATGATCGGACTACCTGCAAAAAACCATGTGGAGGCTTTCAGTTATAGGAGGCGTTGCCTAGACTTACCCTCATTTTGATGGATTCGAATTTCGCATGGCTGAAATCGAATTTCTAAAAGCTTTGATCAATTCTTCCAAATTGTGCCAATAGTTTTGCAAGCGAAATCTAAAGCTTTCCAGTTATGGGAGGCGTTGGATCAGACCACTATGAAGGCAAACCAGTTTGCGAAAGAGCCATTTGATACAAAATCTCGTAAAAATACAATATTAGTAGTAAATATATGTCTAAATATTTGTTTCATTTATGAATATGTTTGGTTTGTTTTATTCGCTTGTAGATTCACTACAGATTCAATTCTCCAATATGTATCAAAATTTCTCACAATTACTTTTAAAATAGAATTTGGGTTCATGCGCACAACTGGATCCTTTTTTTAAATAGTCTGAGCAGACTACCTATAAAATACCCTGTGGAGGCTTTCTAAATGTAGGTGATGAGGAGTACATACATTGGAATCTACATTGGAGAACATTGGCACTCTCGTACTACTGTATGGAGCTGTACATGGTATTAATATATGGTAATAAATGGTATTAAAGTATTCTAGTACGCTATGGAATTAACAAAGAAAATTAGAATCCTCAAAACCCATATTGACCTAACACGTTGAACGCCACGCTAATTTTACATGTCTTGCCCTTCAGGCCGCAACGGTAAATAACTACAAACTAAATTTGCAAATATTAGACAGATTTTGCTAGTTTTTAAAAGGTTTAGCATGACATAGCTGAAAAATGTGGTGAATAATATAAGCCAACGAATTGTTTAGAAATAGTAGTGGATAAAAACCTAGTAAATTGAATTTATTAAACCAAGAATCAGAATAATTAAGTAAATTTTGAATAAATTTTCTGCAATAAAAAAGTGTAAATTTTATAGTTCTATATAATGTATACGCTGTCAGCCAGCTGTTTTTCGCGGCCTATGTGAAAGGTCAGTGTCAGCAAACTGTGGCAGACGTAGCCTAAATGTAATTTCAGTTCGTTCGTTCGTTGTAGTGGAACTGGGCGTCTGAGGCCTTACGGCCCTTTTCCCATTCATCTTGAAGTTAACTTAGAGACATACATGACAAAATTAAAGTTTGGGGAGCAAATGGAGTTCTTGAGAAAAGAAAAATGGCACTTTGCCATTATTAGGCAATGACAATATTATAAGTAATAAAAATGTACATGAAAAAGGTAAAATTAAAGTACAATGGGAAAATGAACACTAATGAATATTTACAGTTTGGAAATACATACAAAAGGGGGCGAGTTAAAGGATTGTGAGGATGTGTGTATATGTGTAAGTAAATGTGGCTCTGTTAAGTAGAGACCCGGCCGTCAGTGAGTGTTTGTGTTGTTAAATGTTAGTATGATATCAGAAGTGTAGAAGTGTGCAATGGGTCGAATTTTTGCATCCTCTTTGAGATTTATGCAGTCGAAAATATCATTAAAATTTGCGGTATTGCAGGTGGCGGCTTTAATAAAGAAGTTTCTATTTAATTTGTTGAAATGATGGTCAAAGCGGTCAATATTAAGATCTCTATGAATGGCATTGTTGCGGATAAACCATCTGGCTCCCGTGAGTTTTCTCAAGATGTTGTTTTGGAGTACGATAAGTTTTTTGAGGTCTTTTTCGGAGGCGTTACACCAGGCAGCTGAGGCGTACGTCATAATAGGACGTATCATCGAGGTATACAGGAGTTTTTTCAGTTTTAAACTAAGGTGTCGGTTATGAAAAAGTGTTTGAAGTTTGTTGGTTGCTGCATACACTTTATTTTTAATGTTATTCACATGGTCAGACCAGGTCAGTTTTTTACTAGTGTCAGTCACCGATGGTTGACGCGGCCTAAATGTAATTTCAGTGTCAGTCACCGATGGTTGACGCGGCCTAAATGTAATTTCATTGTCAGTCACCGATGGTTGACGCGGCCTAAATGTAATTTTAGTGTCAGCTACCGGTGGCGGACGTGGCCTAAACGGAAAGTCCAGTGTCAGCCACCGATGACTGACGCGGCGCTCAACGTGTTAAATTAAGATACATAATCTCACATTTATGAAAAATTCTATTCTACCATGAGCATAAATTTCTCGTAAGGAAATTATGTTATACTTGAAGTCGTAAAAACCACGTAACACCTTAGGGTGCCTTTTGGAAAAAAAAATTTCTAGCAATCAATTATCATTTCCATAACAATAATGATAATAAAATAATGAAAATACTAACTTGCACATTCGCATAATTGAGTCATTATGCACTGAAAGATATTTTCTCCAACTTCTTCTTGAGCATTCACATCTCGTAGCAAGTTCGATTCTAAAATTATAACGAACAATAAAATGTTGCATACCTTAGCATGAAAATCTCGCGATTTCATTGTATTATCACCAAATCTCGAATATCAGTATGTATCGGTAAAGAATTTGAAAACGTTTTATATTACAGCAATAGAAAATTTCAGTTTTTATAATTTTTTACTGCAAAATTTATCAATAAAAACAGTGTAATCTTTGGGTAAGGAAAGTGTGTGAATAACATATTTTTCCTCTATAAAACGAATTCTATTAATCTAAAAATATTTTAAAAATATAGTTTACTTATGGTAATAAGTTTTATTGTATCCGTTCGCTTTATAACTTCTCAGCTGCACATTGTTATCGTTCTTATGTTTATTTACGGGTTTGTACCGCCTTTATGGAGGATATCAATACAATTATATGAAAGAAACATCATGCAATTCCCTTGTTATTTGGTTAGAGGTTTCAGTTATGAAGATAATTTACATTTTGTGAATTGAATGTATGAAAATTATTTTGGAATAACACGACAAAAATCAATCGTTTATTGAAAGAAAATCAAAACTGTCATTGATTTCAGAGTTGATACCTAAATGTGTGTTTTTTCCCCTGAAAACACATCAATTAGGGCAAAGCTATTGTCTTTTTTTATGCTTCACTATGGGACATAAAAACGTAATGGAATAAAATCGTTTTCCTTTTTGTCGGAGCATTTTTATTGGTTGAAAATCGCATGGAATGATCTAGTTTTCTCATGTGATGACATTATGAGTCGGATTTTATTGGTTGGAATCAGCATGAAATTAATAAAAGTTTATTAAATTATTATTTGCATGCAAATTATTAATTTATCTTTCTATAATGATATTTTTTTTCTGTTTTATCTGTAAATGTTATAAGTTAATTACTAGCGAATAATCAAAGTAAAGAATATTCCAATTAAATTCTCTTCATTGAACATAGAAAGAACACAAAATTGTGTTGGCTGTTCAACGACGGTTATAAAATAAAATAATACATAACAGCGGTAAATGACGACATTCAGCTGTACTTAAGGTTAACGTCGGTTATAAAAATAAAATAAAACTTACTAATATATTTTTTGTTTTAAGTACTTTCAAAGCAATCGGCAAATGTATATGCATATGCCTGAACCTATACCTTCTTTAAAAACTAGTATATTCTGATAAAAAGTAAACATAACCAAAAATATAATTTTTTTAAAAAAATTATGAAGCTTTTGGAATACTAGTTTCAGATTCGAAATCTTCACAACCGAATTAAGTACTTGAATATTAAATATATACTAATTAAGCTTTACTAATAAGCTATACTAATTAAGCTATAAATTATATGCTAATAACACAACCGAATTAAGTACTTGAATATATACTAAATAATTGTTTCCCAGTGAAATCCATTCCAATAATTTCCTCGAGTCTAAATGAATTTCACCTTTTTAAAGCAATATTTGTTTGCGAAATAATGTACCCTTAATAAAATATAAAAACATTTTGTTCCACCTGTTTTGTTCTCACAATCTCAGTGAGATAAACAAGTAGACAATCTACTTCTTTTCCTAAATGGATCGTGCTCTGTCAGGTAAGCTCGATTCTTGTCTCTTATCATGAAACAATTCATTTTTATCAATGAAACTATTTTGGTACACTGAAATGATAGAAAATTCGAACAAAAATAAAAACGCGTTTAATTAAATTTGAATTATTAAGATTGTTCCAAAAATGTAGCTGCTTCGTTAATACTTTTGTTAACCCTTTCCTGCACAGTGTTGCTAGCCTGCAACACTCAATCAAAAAATATTAAAAACTACTAGAAATGTAAAACTATTTACTTCCCTAAACACTCACTAATTTTTAGCTACTACTATTCTTTAAGCAATAAATAGCTAAAATATCACTTAGAAAGCTTTATCCAAGGGCGCATTGCTAATGTATTGCCAGAGTTAAATTTGCAACCGAAATTTGCCGTTCCGCAAGGGGTTAAAGCACTTTTGTCCAACTGATATAGTTTGCATATGTATGATTGAATAATTGATTTTTCATGGTAATAAAAACAATTTAAGATTCATTCGTTGAAGCATAAATCTTGCTATCTTTAAAATAAAATTTTCTCAGTTACCGTACAAGTTGGATTCATGGACCTATCAGCTTCTTTGATCTTTTGCTAAAGTTTTCTTTCCAAATGCTGAAAGTAGTAGAAAAATTCGTGATAATATTTGCTCTTAAAGGATTTCCACCATCATTACATTTAACTGATTTAAATATTGTTATAAAAATCCTAACAAGCATAATATAATGAGCACTATGTAAAGTGCAATTTTAAAAGCATTTGTTTTCAAATTATTTCACTTTATCATTCTATCTCTGACTGTTAGTATACATATAAGGTCGCTATCACGGCGCTTCAACTATGGCTGCAGCTATAGCCTTATCCCTATTTTGTAGCTTTCAAGCTTAACAATTTCTGAATTGACAGCTTTGGATGATGTAAATAAATAAACTGGAGAAAGAAAAAGAAGATACATATCTCCCCATTTTTTTAATGTTTATCTCATATCTGATTCTAAGCGGCGCAGATTATTAATTATAACTAAATGGTAAAAATTTTTATAGTTATTTATGGTTATATTGCTTAACCAGTGTGGAATTTTATCTTTTAAATGATGATACTGGACTAGGATAGCCTGGTTGGCAGGACACATGACTCACGTTCGTGAATATAGCAGTTCGAATCCAGCCGGTCGAAAACTCCCCGTGTTGTAAATGGTGACTGGTGCACGTTAAATCTGTCTGGTCACAAGGTCCTCCATGCTCACTTAATAAATTATACCTGTGAGGGTACTGAACTGGAGATTGATTGTTCACTGGTATAGGAAAATTACGATCTGTAGATGAATGAATGAATGTATGAATGGGACCGCCCTATAAACGGGTGCGACATCTGGGTGATACAGAAGTCGAGTTCTCTGGCCATAGATGACGCCACTAGAATAGAAGAACAATAGCACCCCCTCGGCCTTAATGGCTGACTACAACAACAACAAATGATGAAGCTTTAAATACCCAAAGTCGTATGGTTGAGAAACTGGGCCTCGCAGTTTTTTGAGTTACAATGAATAGCCATCTCTCAAACATCAGAAATATCTAAGCTTGGATTATTAAGCTGTTAAGATTTGTGGATTAATAAGCTAAAAATCAATGAATAAAATTGGCATTTAAATTATATCATTGGGAGAACAAAAAATATTGAGTTTGAATGCATAATCATTTAACTGCCACCGTAGAAAACGATGCCCAAAACGTGCAAATGCTGGCATCTATGTAAATGATATTTGATGTGCTGATGAGTATGAGAATAGTTTTGTCAGATATTCTGATATATAAAGCTTTCTATTTTTATGTTTATTGTATCAATTTCCTTTTCAGGCACATAAATCAGACGAAAATCGAAATATGTATTGCTTAACTGTCATTTTTACAATTATTGTAGCAACATACAACTGTCTGGAGACAGGTGAGATATTTATTAAAAACATTTTGTTTCAAAAATGAATCATAATAAACATGCATTTCTTTAAAAATGCTTATTTTAGTATAAAGATAAAATTGTAATCCGACATTTTTGATTTATTTTCCTTTATAATCACATTTATTTTGTGATTGGAAGGGCTTCGGACCATATATCAATTGGCCAAACATTTTTAAAGTGATATTTTTACACAGAAGTTTTCTTTGGCGTTGTTTCAAAACAGGTACTTTATAAATTTCGTGTGCATACTCTAGAAATTTCGTACTTAATTTCGTTTTAACCCCTTTGAAGGCCGTGGTAAGTATACTTACCACCACGTTTTACAACTTTTAATTTAGGTTTCCATTTTTCAATAACTTCAGCTTTCTTGAAGTGAGTTTGAATAAAATTGTTAATCATTTGTTACTTTTAAAAAACGTATAAAAGTTCTAAAATATATAATTCCTTTCGAAGTTTGTAGCATTTAAGGAATTCATTTTGTAAATAAAGAAAAATAAAAGTCAGTAAGTTCCTAATAGGTCATGTTAAATATATTTACCACCAAAAAAATGGCATTTATCACCCTTCAAATTACACATGCTTAGGCATAGAAGTTACAACTATAAAAGGATACGTATATTCTAAAATAAAAATAAAATAAAGAAGTAAGTAAGAAATTAAAAGAGAAAGAGAAAAAAAGTACTATTTAGGGGGGACTAATTTCTTTTAACATTCATATTTAGAGAATGAATAACGAAGCGACACACAAACCGAAGTGCTCCCGGATAAAAATTCGGAAAATCTTGCAAAATAAATCCGTAATATGTTTCGTCTTAGGGAATAAGGGAAATCTGAATAATTACAATTCATCTATTAAATAGGTCAAGGGAAAAAATCTTTCGCAGTTCAATAAAAGGGAAAAATCAAAATTACGAACTAATACATGATTTAAAGCAAAAAATTGATTGAAATACAGGATGTGAGTATTAAAGTGNGGTCCATATTTCTAAAGAGGTAATAAATTATTCTGTAACAAAACATAGTTAGTTTAAAATTTTACAACATGTCTTAGTTAATTTATCAATTTTATATGAAGTAGCATTAAAAAATTAATAGAAGATCTATGAACTTATTACTTTCTTTATTATAATGTTACCACGTTTAAAACCTTTTGATTTGTTGAATTTGATATTTTTACAATTTTACAAATTATTCCTTACCTGGACGTTTTCTGAATATCATTTCTATGCCGCTTTTCCTAAAAGTGCAATGCCATCATTTCTTAGATATTCATAAAACAATGTTGAGTTATTTCAAAATTTTTCGTTGTACTGAGGGATTGTTGAAACAAATTGAGGCTATATTCTTCTTAATTCAAAATTATTTTCTGCCCAATTTATGATTTTGTTTTCCCTTCAAGAGTACATATAAATTTTTTGGAAATAATTATTTAAATTATTTTTTTTATTAAAAAGATTGAGAATTACCACCGTAAATAATGTCTGAAGAATATTTTAAACTGATAAGTAAATTTTTTTGTAGTTAACTGCTTTCTTTAAGAAATGCTTCAAGGTGTGCTTTGTTAGATTGGTAATTCTTTAAATTTATTTCTGTCTGAAAGGAAAACTTTCAAGAATGAAGAAAAATTTGAAGATAATTACTTAAGACTGAAGTGACTAAGAATTATCAATCTAAATAATCTCTTTGTTAATTAAGTTTGGGTGCTCTAGTTAATAAAGTTTTGTTATATTGTAAAGTTCCATACACACACATGTATATATATATATATATAGCACTATAAAGAGAAAATGGAATGAAGCGAAAGAGAGAAAAACGAAGAAGATTATGAAAAAATAATAAGCTTTAATTACTGCGCATAAGCTGCAAGTATATGGAACTCATGAAATAAGTTAAAAATATCGAGAAAACATTGAAAATATTATAATAAAAAAAATGAAAAGAGAATAAAAAAGTTATTAAAATTAAATATTTTTGAAAATATTTTTAAAAATTAATTATTAAAAGAAAATATATGCGCATTAAGAAGCCGAAAAACAAAATAATTAAAGATATAATCTCGTCATCAGCTCGCACGATTATATCAGCAAAAAGGAGTGCTTTCTAATATTGTATTTATACAGCCAAAGTAAAATCTATCAATACAATGGTGTGGGTAACACCCAAAGAAATTGAAACGAAAATTGAACATATTAAGTAAAAAATATGCGAAATAAAACACTTCAAACAAAAAAAGCAAAAAAAATGTAAGAAAAATGCAAAATAAAATATAAAATGTAATCTGTAAAAAGAGTAACGAATTCAAATGAATTTATACATTCCGCAATCTTCCAAGAATGATTTAAAATATTTCCATAATAAGTGGCGACAGATTACAAATTATGAAACTAGAAGCGTAAATAGAGGTTAGAAGCATAAATGTGTAAAATCCTTTATGACGCGTTCTTACTGCTGTACTGAAGCGCGTTTGATTCGTTAGTTACCTTGGTTGGCCCGAAAATGGTTGTGCGCAAAGTAATAATATATATATATTATTACTTGCATAGTTTAAATTTTATAATTAATAAGGTTGTAAAAAAAAATTCATTTGCCCGGTTTGCACAGATTTTTAGCTACGGATTTTCCCGAATTGTACTGGTAAAAATATAAAACATGCTTTGTAAATATATAAAATTAGTTAACAAAGAAGTTCTTAGTAAATTTATTAATAATAATAACAGTATACAATTAACTGAATGATTTTATATAGAGCTTAATTACATTAGTTGGGTATGCATTGTTTTTATTGATTTATTTATTTTTTCTATCAAATTTTGAAAGAGTTTGTCCATTTGATTTTTAGACAAACATTACTACATATTCTTTTAATTCTATTCACCTGATTAAAAAAAGGTATTTAAATAAATGGTTTCAGAAACATGGTAACTCTTTAATTAAACAGACAGTACTATATATTGTGGCAGAGATGCCAACCTGCTCCGGGCAGCAAATATATATTTTAAAGTGGTAGTTTATCAATTGTGATTCTTGGCTTAATAGATTTAATTTTAGTAGATTTTTATTCACCACTATTTCTAAATAATTCGTAGACTTATACAATTCACCACTTTATAGTACCGAAGTCACTTTATCATAAAACTCTACTCAAGGGGATCTTCCCATTCCAAAGATGATTTTCACTTTAAAACTAAAGATTTACTTCTTTAAAGACTTGGTTTGTCGTTACAACATACTACAACTTCAAAGATATTTAGGAAATCCTAAAATACGACAAAACAGAATCGATATAACCACAATATCCAGCAACCAGTACCGATGGCATGCTACACCTTTTAACAGCAAGCAAAAATAGTCAAATATTTTCAAACTTTACTTCGTAGTTATTTACGGTTTTTTTAAAAATTATTTTGGCGTGTCCGGGGCAGTTGGCATCTCTGTTGCGGTAATAGGTTTTTTACGGCTCCCTTAAACATTTAATAAACATTCTCATAAAATGATTTCACATTCAACTAATATAGAAATCTACATTTTTAGATGCCCTTTCCATACAGCGAGGGAATGCATACATCGACAAGCTCATATCGGAGGAAATAGGCTACAAATTTGATCCTTACCTGTTAGACGATGTAAGTAAAGGTTTCGTCAAGAAAATCGTCTACGTGAACGTCACAGGCGAAGCTAAGCTGCACAATGGTTTAATTTATGGACTCAATACAATACACAGAGCCAGCGATTGCTCATTAACGGAAATAGATGGTCGTCTAAATGTAAGCGCTGTATTGGGAGCTGGATTGATCGCAATGCGCTATGAAGGCACTGTCCGATTCATGAATTACGGACCTAAAATAGACATAAATGGAATCATTCACTATGTTGAAGTTTTGATGGATTTCAGTGTAAATGCTACGAGCGGGTTAGATGGTGAACTTCACAGATTTGCCATAACCGAGCTGAATAACGTGCAAGTATGGATATCTGGACTGGGTCCGCTTAACTGGATGATTAATCCCATGTTAAAGATGGCCAACAAAGTGTTTCGAGGGAAAGTTCATTCTCTCCTTGAAGGAAAAGTTGAGAGTCACATAAGTGAACGATTGCCGAAGTTTCAATTTCCAGTGGAAGAAAAAACGAACTAGTCGTCAGAACAGCTGTTAAGTTCTCATAAAGTTTATGAACAACTGTTAAATTAATGTCGAATAAAATAATAGTGAGTGAATTCCTCTTGTACTTTAAAGGAAATGAACAGCTGTTAAAAGTTAAGGAAATTTCCAAACAACTCTTAAATTAACATCGAATTAAGTAATAGTGAATTCCTCTTGTGCCTGTAAATGAAATAAACAGTTGTTAAAAGTTCATGAAATTTCTAAACAACAGTTAAATTAACATCGAATTAAGTAATAGTGAGTGAATTCCTCCTGTACTTTAAATGAAAACAGCTGTTAACAGTCCATAATATTTCTGAACAACTGTTAAATTAACATAAAATTAAGTAACAGTGAATTTCTCTTGTGTCTGTCAATGAAATGAACTTATCATATGAACAACTGTTAAATACTCATAAAATTTCTAAACAACTGTTAAACTAATATCGAATTAAATAATAGTCAATAATAAATTATTTTTGCTGTCTACGTACTTAAAAACTTATGAATAAATATTTATTTCTTACGAAGTAATTTTGCTACTTAAATCTTTATAAAATATGTAAGGTTTAGGGAATATGTTGTTCACATCAGAAGGAATCTACAAGTTCGACAAAGTATTTACTGGAATTACTAATAATGTTTTTTTTTCTTTGGAGATACAAAACATGCCTGTTAACCATGATTTAAAGTATATAAGGAACTTCAATCATGTGATTTTCTAAATAGTTAAGTGGTATCTTAAATAAGAAAATATCCACTAAAGTAAATTATTTATGCACAAACGATTCTTTTTATAAAAGTACTTTTCACGCAAATACAAATTTCGTTCAAGACAACGTCCAAAGAAATAAAAATTATTAACATTAGCTGTTTTAGTTGTTATGATCTGTAGATGAATGAATGAATTACGTATGGGGGAGGCAGATCGCACCGCCTCTGCCTTAGTGGTAGTAAAATGTATGCTTTCTATACATTCCTTGAATTTAGAAACTTAATTTATAATCTTTTTGATCCACCACTATTTTTAAAAAAATTAAGCATATATGTAAATACGTAATCATGGTTCATAAAATAAGACACACAGCTTTTTGAGTTGCAATAAAAAGCCATCTCTCAAACATCAGAAGTATCTAAGCTTGGATTATTAAGCGAAAAATCAATGAATAAAATTGGCATTTAAATTTTTTGATTGGGAGAACAAAAAATATTGAGTTTAAATGCATAATTATTTAACTACCACTGTAGAAAACGATACCCAAAAAGTGCAAATGTTGGCATCTATGTTAATATACAGGGTGTTTATAAAGTCCCGAACCCATTTTGATGTTTAATAACTTATAAAATAATAAAGATAGATTGAAATTAATAGCTTAAATGGTTAGATAGACTCAAAAAGTTTCATGACCCTTGTCAACGAACTTCCACGTGTGCCCCCTTCATCGCACGGAGAATATCAAGTCGATAGTCAATTTCACGCCAGGTAGTGGCAAGCATGTCGGCATCCACAGAGGCTATTGCTGTTGTAAGTATTTCTGGCTTTTATGTCTTCAATGTTCGACACGATCCTCCTGTAAACATTGTCCTTTATTAATCCCCAAAGAAAAAAAATCCAGCAGCGTTATATCAGGTGATCTGGGAGGCTAAGGAATTGGACCTCCTCGCCCAATCCATCTTCCTGAAAAATCCTCCATTCAAAAAACTACGAACGATGATACCCCAATGAGGTGTTGCACCATCTTGTTGCAAAAAGACATGCGGCTGAAGCTCTTCTAGTTGTGGAAATACGAAGTTTTCCAACATGTCTAAGTATACGACTGATGAGACCGTCTTTTCTGTAAAAAAGAAAGGCCCAATGACTCGGTCGTACATTAGTCCAAACCACACATTAACCTTTGGGGAATCCCTTTGTGTCTCACGGTACTCATGGGGGTTTTCAGATCCCCATATGCGCTACATAGAACAAACACATCAAAAGTAAACGTAACATTGCAATAGTTGCCAAAAACAAAAGAGAGAAAAATGCAATTAATAAGCAGACGATATTTAGAAAAGTACAGATAATTAGACTGGAAAATGAAATTATCTTAAATTAACCACACGTGCAGACGATATTTACAAAAGTAAAGATATTCAAACCTGAAAAGGAAAATATATGAGTTAATCGATCAATAAATGCCATAAATTTGTTTATATCTTCATTATTTCATGAGTTATTAAACATCAAAATGGGTCCGGGAACTTATAAACACCCTGTATTTGATTTGCAGATGATAATGAGAATAGTTTTCTGAAATATAAAGCTTACAATTTTTATGTTCATTGCATTTATTTCCTTTGCAGGCATATAAATCAGACGAAAATAGAAATATGTATTGATTAACTATCATTTTTATAATTATTGTAACAACATAAAACTGTCCGGAGGCTGCTGAGATATTTTTTAAAAACATTTTGTTTCAGAAATGAATCATAATAAACAAGCATTTCTTTAAAAATTCTTACTTTAGTTTAGAGATAAAAACGTAATCCGAAATTTTGCGTTAATTTTCTATTTAATCACGTTTATTTTGGGATGAATTAAAATAGAAGGGCTTCAGACAAGCATTTTTAAAGTGATATTTTTGCACAAACGTTTTCTTTAGCATTGTTTCAAAACAGGCACTTTATAAATTTCGTCTGCCTACTTCACAAATTTCGTTTCAAATACTTTCTAAAGTACTGTTTAAACTCATAAACGGCTTGAAAAGTACCGAAGGATTTTTTGTGTTTAAAGTGGCACTTCCTCTCCTGACCGAACTCAACCAACGCTTCCTATAACTGAAAGCCTCCGCACGTTTTCTTCAAGGTAATCCGATCTGACCACTATGAAAATTAACCAGTTTAAGAAAGAGTCATTTAATAGAAAATCTAGTAAAAATAAGAAAGTGGTAGCAAATATATCTTATTTCCTTTTCCAACCACTACAGATTCAATTCTCAAAAATATATAATAAATTTCTCTCGATTGCTTTTTAAATAGAATTTGGGTTCATGCGCACTACTGGTTCACTTTTTAAATTGTCTGCGAGAACTACAAAGATGCCAACTTACTCCGCTTTATAAAATTGTATATTCTAGTGGTAGTGAAATTTAAGTTACTTATAGTTTAGTATTTTTCATTTTAAGTAATTTTTTCACCAATAAATATCAAAAATTATAAGTACACTGCTCAAAAAAATTAGGGGAGCACATGGTTCCCCTAATTTTTTTGAGCAGTGTATTTAATACACTTTGAGATTGATTGATGATAGATTGATACTAATAAGACACTAATAGATTGATGCTTTAACGATGCGTTTTATATAATACTATTATATAAAACGCATCGTTAAAGCATCAATCTACTGCTTACTCTATTAAAAAGTAGGTGTAACTCTTTCTTTACCGAATTTTACTACATAATTTGTTACCACTTTATTTAAACTATTCTAGAAAGCGCAGCAGTTGGCATTCCTGGGACTACTTATAAAAAAGCGTGAGAAGGCTTTCTGATGTAGGAGGTAATGACTCATCAGTTGAAGGGGTGGAGACGGGGAGAAAAATTCTAAATGTGCTTTTATACCTTTTCATTTAATTTTCACAAATAAACTGATGATGGATATTTACTATATTTGGCAGTATCTTCCGATACATGGAAAATTCAAAGTTGCCACATATTCACAGTTTGAAATACAAAGATTCACTTGTATAGATTCTGTATTCATTTTTTGAAATAAAATTATACAAATTAAATTTTGCAATCAAAAGTTTTTGATAGGTAGTAAAATAGTATTCAGTTGCCTGTTTTTAGTTTTTTGATAAGTATATATTTTTTTAACGCAATTAACGTTAAAAAAATTTTTGCAGCGTCATCGAAATCGGTTTTCATCAGTTAAACCTTTTACCTAAGGCTGGTACAATTGATGGTCCAGAATAACAGGCGCCGTAAGCAAAAGAGCTGTAATAAAATTTGGTTTTAAAAAATCTAAAGAATGCGTGCGTTTAGTGAGAAGCGTGTAGTTTTAAATTACTTACTCACAATCACAAATAGCGTGTGTATATATATGTAATGTTATGTCTTTAAAGGCTAGATAATTGAAGAGACTTGGGCGTGATATACAGTGTTGGCCAAAAGTGTGGACACTTTTTGAAAGTTTCATCTTTTTCAACTTTGCGTGCTTGTAGAACATATTAATTTTTACTTAAATACAAACTTTTATATATCAAATTGAAAGTAATTTAATGTAGAATTTTATAACAAAAACAAAATTAAAATAACTGTATTAGAAAAAAAGTTATGCTCATTTTAGTAGAACAAACAAACACAAATTGTTTTGAATAAGAACGTGTTTTGTAATAAAAGCGTACTAGCCAATCACAAACACTGTTCTTAGGACCAATCAAATGTCTGTTACTATAGTTTTGGTTATTTGGATGGTAAAAGAGTTATTGTTGTGGAAATATTTTGCGGAATGTTTCATACTAGTACAATTAAATAGAGTATTGCTGTTTTTGAATATTTAAAGTCCTTTTTTTTAATTAAACTAATTTTAAACAATGTCATCAACAAGAAGAACTAATTGGACATCTACAAAAAGAAGCCGAATTGTCATATTGAGAGAAAATGGCCTCTCTTATGCTGAAATTGCAAGACAAGTTGGTGGTTCAGTGACTTGTTCTGGTGTACGAAAGTTCTGTTTACGTTATGAAAAAA